CTAGAGTATAAATTGAGTTTCCTATTTCCTTTATCTTCCTACCAAACACTTTCTTAGCCCATGTGGTACTATCGTTATTATGAAATAGAAATAGGGAATGATGATAATAGCAAAGATCTATGCAAACACCTAATACCATAAATTGGGAAATTTTCGTTGTTAAAATATTTTTGTGGTTAAAGTGACCAACAAAATTTTGACACACAAAATATTTTCTACAGCGAATAATAAGATTACCAAATTTATTTACAACAATTATTTTTAATTTCCCAATTTATGGTAATTTAATTACTTAATTAAAGTATTATTAATTTTTTATTGTTACAGATCCAGATATTTTACCAGAAGGTTCTGTATTAAGTGAGTGAATGTGTTAGTATTATTATTAATAGATAATGTGTGTATTTATTTACAGATGAGTCTCATGCTCCTGTTATACTGACAGCTATCAATAAGATAGTCAATGAATGGGAGACTCTGGGAATATTCCTTGGAATTAAAAATGAAGAATTGAAGCTAATTCATTTTAATTCTTTACATCAAATAGATATATGCCGTAAAGACATGATAGTTCACTGGTTAAAGACTGGTACTGCTACAAGGGAAAAGCTGATAGAAGCACTTGAGGATGTAGAAAGAAGCGATGTTGCTGCTGAAGTAAAGAGTCTGCCTACTCCAGAAGAAGAGATAGATGGTACACGTTTGTAATTTGTACATTTAAATCACTTAGCTATACATTGTAGTTATGATTTTTGTTGATGCAATCACAGAATGGGAATAGATGGATACAATACTGTAAACGATGCATGTAGCTTCTGAAACTTGCCCATAGTAGACACCAGCTAACAAAAGAAACCCTGGCTTACAGCTTAAAAAGCAAGTTCAGGAGCCAATACTTACATGGTTATGGCTGGCAAAATAACATTATTGTCATTTATTGACTAACTGAATGCAAGCTTAGGCTACTCCAATTTTATTCACTGCTTCCCTTTCCATATAGGCTGGGCTGATGTAGACAAGTGGCTTAATGCATTATTTTAAAATATTGATGTGTATTAACAGCCAACGTAGTGTGTGGGCCAAAAAAGATGAATTTTTAATGCATAATACGGTTCTTTTATTTTTTGTTATACATGTAGCTAAGCAGTTTCTTATAACTGCTACCATATAGTGGAAAATGCTTGTGGATTTCACGTTTTTTTCAAATTCATGAAAATAAAATCCACGAAAATTGATTTGATACAGTTCAAGATGGCCGAAAAGTAGAAAACCACAAAAATGAAAGCCACAAAATTGATTCATGAACAGATCCGCGAAATTTTTGGGCCACAAAAATTTTCCGCTATACAGTATTAGCTATAATTTAAAATGCATAATTATATACTTGGCAAGATACCATGATGCTGCTTGATTTGTGTAAACTGAAATAGTTTTATGAAATTTGTTGTCAGTTGTCACCTTTTCTCAGTGGTGTGGTGTCTAATAATTAACATAGCCACATGGTCCAAAAATGTTTTACGCATGCTCACAAATAATACTAATAATACATGTGCATAATACATACATGTTACTGGTTACATACACTACAAGTGGGTTCCTTATTTTCATTCTTCTAGAGTATAAATTGAGTTTCCTATTTCCTTTATCTTCCTACCAAACACTTTCTTAGCCCATGTGGTACTATCGTTATTATGAAATAGAAATAGGGAATGA